AGTTTAGACAATGGCTCAGATAGGGTTTCGGAAAATATTGCTCAACTTATTGAAGGTCTCAGGCTGGAGAATTGAAAGTTTGTGTTGTTACAAGGATTTAGGTCTTGGGCTGACAGACCTACCGATACTCACAGGTGAAGGCATCGCCCTTCAAAGGACCCCCATCTTGACACGCACGTGCTTTGTTCAAAGGGGTCTGGCTCGGACAGAAAGAGTTCCAACTTCCCGCAGGCTTTACAACTAAAACTTCAATCTCGCCTGAGGGTTTCGGGCGGAATCATGCAGCACCATGACTTCAACCTACACCGTAGCTCTGTGTAGCAAGGCCCTACAGGGAGCATGCCCGAACCAAAGCGTTTAAGTTTGTAGCCATAGATGGCTAAGAAGAAACCACAGGCTGATTGGAACACGTTTTAGGGTTTAGACGTTAGGCTACTACCATCCTCTAATAGCAAACCTTCCCAGCCCCGGCGTAATGACAATTTCCCCAGCTATAGATACGATACTACATCCAGAGGATTTGTGAGAGAGGTGTTTGAGGTTCATGATTGGGAGGAATAATCCCTACACAATCCTACGTTTCATTCATCCCAGTATCCATCAGATGCTCAAATTGATTCTCCATTACTAGGGTATACTAGGGTAATAAGGCGTAATAAGGCGTAATAAGGCGTAACAATCTCATCTGGATCGCAAAGTGCTGTCAAAACAACGGACCTGAACGCTATACCGCGAACCTTCAACCCTAAATCGACTTTCTGAAGACACATGAGCCATTGTCTAAACTCCTGGTATGCCCCTTAATAACCCCTATAGTAGTCCCCTATATGATCCCCTATATAACCCCCTTTCAGGAGTTCAGACTACAGCTCACATGTTGGGGATGCAGGTTTGAATTCCCTGGAATTGTTGTTCATTGAACCAATACCATACCAAATATCATGGTTTAGATGCCCTAAGCCCTAAACCCCAAACCCTAAACCCTGAACCCCAAACCCCTAAACCCTAAACCCCCAACCCTAAACCCTAAACCTTACAGCCAGGGCACTTCCTGGAATTGTTGTTCATTGAACTGTTGGATCCGTAGTTGGAGGGTCGTAAGCCTTCGTTGGTCAACCGGAGCCACTTCCTCCGCAAAGCTTCCTGGCAGGAGTTGGGTTTAGGGGTTCAGGGTTTAGGGTTTGCGGTTGAGATTTGGGGTCTAGGTTTAGGTTTGGGGTTGAGGGTTTAGGGTAACCCCTAAACCCTGAACCCTATGATACTTCTGGTAACTGATAGAATCCAATGAAGAAGGACCAAAAGGGCTTGGATTCCCCATACAACAATCAATTGAAGGTTTTGGGTTTAGACTTTAGGGTAGACTTCTGCGAAAAAAAAACATCAAAAGTATACCTCGGGAGTCTCTCGGGAATCTTACAAAGCTTCCCTTCGGACACAGCACAGCACGAAAAGTTGACTCAGCAGAAGGTCACTAACCCTAACCCTAAGCCATACCTGTAACCCCAACTACAGCTCAGTAGTAACTACCTTCGAATCCGTAGGTGTAACACCTGACACTGTGGGTAACTGGGGTTACATGGGAACCCTAAGCCATCCCCAGATCTCTAGGCTCCAAACCCGAAAATGACCACCCACGCGTCCTGGGCCTTAAACCACCATTCAGGGCCTTATAGGGGTTATATTCGAGTTATGTAGGGGCTATATGGAGATAATGGAAAAGAAAATGGAAACTACTATTTGGGGTTTAGGGATAGGGACCCACCCGTCCTTGACCACATTCTCCAATTCTACGACAGAGGCCTGGAAGTATTGCGGAATCTTGCCTCGGAACATGCGAAGATGGCCGTGTACGTGATTTATTTCGGTATTTCTGACATGAAACGGCATCCTTGATGTCTACACCCCTACTGCAGGACCCCAATGACAAGAAGCAGAATCCCATGAAACCGTTCGTTCGTTTGCACGGGAACCAGGATGCTGCCAGGGGCTCCTTCACTGGTCTAGCTGATACACCCAGGATCTTGGTGGATAGAAGTCTGCAACAAGGACCAGAGTTGCCTGTCTCAGGGATACATATAAGCGGGAACCCAAGAATACATGGCAGGAAAAACAAACAAAAAGCAAGCCTAAAAGATAAACCTGGACACCCAAGCATGAGCCCTACAGCTGAGAACTGCGATTGCAGCCCCACTACCATTCAACATCCTGCCTCTTCGAAATTGGAATGATCCCTTACTCTCTTGATGGCCCGGGGCCCTCTTTTACAAGGGCCCTCAGTAAAGTACACATCAACTCATGATGTGTTTCAACTTGTGATGCTAACATCTTTGCTATGTTTACCTGCTGCTTACCCAAGCACGGCCATGCAGCTGCCCTAAACCCTAAATAGTAGTTTCCATTTTCTTTTCCATTATCCCCATCTAACCCCAATATGTTATAACCCCTACACATACCCCAATATAACCTACATATACCCCAATATAACCTACATAT